TATTTATTTACTTACTAAGTATTATCCACTTATTGATGTATTTAGTGTTTACTCAGTTGCAAAATGACAGAAATGGCATAGTTTAAATATTGTGTATATGAAATTTATCTTACATTTATAAAAAGCATCTTTGCAAAACTGAATTGCAATTCATTTGCTGCGCAACAGTAATAACAATTATCTTTATATTCATAGTTCCCCAAGGATGGATCATTTTACTTTCTTGAGATAACTCTCTGTCTTTTTCATTCGGTTCTCAATGCCCTGTGACTGGAATTTTGGCACATTTTCCCCTTCATATGTATCAGTGAGTCAACACTAATGGTAAAGGCTAAGTATGTTTTTTTTAGTTTGGTACCTTTTTTTTAATAAATGGTATCTTTAATAAAAGATATTTTGTTTGGGGGTTTTTCAATTTTTTTTTTTCTCTCCTCTCCATGTCACTTTCCTTCTTTCATCCTCCCAGCCTTCCTCCTGTTATTGCATGCCAACTATCTTATGAACCTCTTCTGCAAATGGTGAACTATTAGTTCTGAGAGAAAAGCTCAACTATCAAAGATGAAGGCAATGTAACTTAAGGTGGTATGTCAAGAAAATCCTCTCCACAGTTTTTCTGAAAAGCTTTGTTTCTACATTTTAGAATAAATTAAATGGGAGACTTCCACTATCTTCTTTTTGAGACTCACCAAAGGTACAGAAAAATAAGATGACCTTCTTTACTCCATCTCTGATAAAAATTGCCTAAGAAAACTGATTCAGAAAACCCTTCAAGTCTTAATTAATTTCTACTGGCTTAACTCCAACTTCCCCATCTCTCCACAGTCCCAAATTTGAATTATTAGATCACTGTAAACACAAACAAATACAAATCATGACCAGATATTTCAAAAGAAATCCCCGCATCACCCTCACAGGTTTCCCAGATTATTCAGCAATTTAATATGAATATCTTCTCTTTTTTCTAGTCTAATCATGTTCCTAATAATAAAGTGTTTGGTCAGTTTTGAAAGCAAGGAATTGAGAAAATACCAGAAAAGATGATTTCTTGCCAGCCACATGTGGATAACACTGACAGGGGAATCTCATGACAGTGTTGTACTCATACCCCTTACTTGTCTTCTCACCCTATCCTGCTTTGGGCTTTTAAATCTTTTCTAGTCTTATTTCTCCTGAAACGTTTGTCCTTCTGCGCAGCCTCCCATGGCACAGCTGAGGAGCCAGGGCTTCTACCCTTCAGACCATTATTAAGTCATTGCCCACCCCAGCATTTGGGATTTGTTGCCTTCTGGAATATTTCTCCCTGCTTCTTGGTTCCAGTAGGACTCCCTTTCTGGGTAACCATGAGAGGGGCAGAGCAGGTACAGTCCTTTCCTAGCCTGCCAATGCTCCAGCAACCCCCTTGCCCCTGATCAGATGGACACCTTGTTCTTGGCACACAGCCCCAGCCAAGTGATTGTTTGAGCACTGTGCACAGGCAAGGCAGTAACAGGAAAAGAACAGAGAACTGAAAAGCATTGAAGCACACTTCCTTTTCTTCCTCCTTATCCTGGTCATGTCTGTCCTACTGAAGTTTTTCTTGTTTGCTTGACTATTTATTTCTGGTGGGAAGTGGAGGGGGTACAGGGCTGTGGAATCAGGACCCTGTGGCTGCCAGCAAGGGTTTCACAGTCACTGCATTTCATGAGATCCCTCTACAATTGGCTGGACTGCAGAACCAGCACAGGTTGTTTGCTTTCTCTCCCTCTGTTTGCTTTCATTGGATGGAACCAGCTTTTTTCCAGTTCCTTCCTTTTCTGGGTTCCAGTTAACACCAATAACATCAGCTCCTCAGATTTTTTGCCACAGTTTTGATAACAGATTCTTGCACCAGCTGAGCTGTGGCTTTTCACTATCAGCTGGCTACTGATGACACCACAGCACATCCCTCATAACTACACCATGAAAGCAACAGATTTCAGGATAAAATATTTCACATTTCCACTTACTGGGAACATTTTTCCCTGAGACCATATTACACCAATACTATGTTTTTGGCTTAGGTGTAACTGAGGGAGCAGGTTGAAGCCCAGGAACCTCCCTGGTACCTCTGCAGCACCTGCAGCTCAGCATAGCAAGGTGCACTGCCCTCTGGACAGCCCAAACACAAGTCCCCAGAATAATGATGTCTTCCTTCATTTTCTGTATGACCATTATGGTTTGTACTGTGTACTGGCTGCTTTACTCTCTGTGCAAGCTAGGTACATACCTCTTGAAGTTACCACAGGGGCAAAGTTAAACCATTGCTGTGTTGCAGCTGGCATTGCTACCATGAAATAAATGCAGAACTAGAAAGGAAAAATGGATTATTTGGCTGGATTTCTGAGTAAACAAGTAGGTAAACATTTAAAAATCAGTCTAGGTTCTGGCTTCTGAGGGGAATATAGGTAGCACTGAACTGTAGCACTAAACCTGCATTATATGGGAAAACTGTGGTTTAAACAGGTTTTAAAATGGCTTTTACTTTTTTACAAAGTCATTGCCCCTTCTTCCCAACACCCTCCATGGTAATGTTATCTCAGGAATCTCCTGGGAAGGTGTCCTGAGGTGTTTCCCATTGGCCTTTGTTAACCCCTTCCTGTGATTGGGTGTTCCTGTAAACCCCTTGAGACTTCTAATTGGTTACTGTGTGAATCCTCCTAAACCCTATAAATGTAGCATCCCCAACAATAAACCCTCTCTTGCCTCCTCTCCACACTCGGTGTCCTGTCTCTGTGCCGGCCATGGGGCCACGTGCGGGGGGGGGGAGGGGGGAGCACCTCTCCCCTCCAGGCTCAGGGCCAGAAGAGACCCCTGAAGAAACCCCTGGAGTTCCCTTTCCCCTTCCTTCAAGACGTCGGAATGGTTCTTCAGATGGAAATGGAACTAGAACTGGGCCGCCCCATGTCGTGGGTGGGGAAAGGGATCCAGACTGAACTCCAGGGGTAAACAGTTAAAAGAAATTCCACTGTTTGTCTAAAACACCTTTTTTTTTCTACTAAAAAAAAAATAGTGAAATTCACCTTTGTATTCACTTAACATTAATTTCATAAAATCTGTTCATTGTAAGATTTGTGAACTCAATGTAATGCAGCATTTTCATTTTATTACTTACTCCTGGGGGTAGTATGCTTCTTGTTCAGGGGAAAGTGCAGTTCCTGACAAGCTTTTAAATACTCCTAAAGTACATATGTGCCAGCAGATATATACAATCAGCATATTTAGTTGGAAGATGGTATTTAGTTTTGGGAGTTTTCGACCAGAAAGGGCTGCAATTACATTACATCTCTTCCATCAAAATCGGTAATACCCTGTGGCTGATGAGTGATTCAGCAGGAGGAGTGAACCTCAAAGCATCCTCCAGGGCCACACGTCTGGAAGCACAACTTTTGTCGCTGTCAAGGTGCCACAGGCACCTCTGCAGTTTTCTGACATCTCCAGGACTATAACACATAAAGGCATTTGGGAAGTGGCAACAATCATGTACCTATGGAGTTAGCTGAGTTTCCACAGAGCTCCCACTGAGCAGAGCTGTGGGTTATATGAGGTGTGGGCTGTTAGAGGAGGTCAGTTACACGCCACATTATAACAGAAGAATCTTATCACAGCTGAGTTTGATCTATGAAAATATTTCATTTCCTTCCCAGCCTAAACAGCCTCTCATTTTCTTCCAAAAACATACAAATAATTCCTTAAAAGTTAACATTACTTTTTGCACTTATGCCATGAAGAAACAACACCTCCCTGGATGTGGCAAGAAATTGTTAACAGCCTTGATAGAATCCCACACTGCCTGACGGGAGGACATCTTACATGGAAAATATGTTATACATGAGAACAGAGCTAGACTGACTCATTCAACTACATGTCAAAAGCACTGCCAAAAACCAAACTCCCCACTGGAAGCAGTGCCCTCGTGGCAACCCTGGCACTCCAGTTTCTGAAGCTGACAGTGAGGCAGCTGTCAGATGGAGCAGTTACCATGTCTTTTGTCAAATTTTCTTATTAAGCAAACATCGATAAAGGGTGTATTATGCCTGCTCTACTTAAGGAAGAAGTTTTTAGGAATTCTCCTTTCTGGAAATACTGCAAAAGCTACCAACTTTCCACCTCTACCCTTCCCTCCCACACTATCTACAAGCATTAGTGTATTTAAAATGAAAACAACCAAGACAAAACAGCAAGTAATGAAAGACAGCACAAACAAGAAGCCTGCAGCACTGCCAAATTATACAACAGCGATTCCCACTGGGGATAGCTTGGACAACTTGCTTCATGAGACCAGTGGGTCTGCTGAGAGGATTTGCAGGCTCTCCCGCCAGGACTAGGACAGAGCAGGGCAAGCAGCCTCTGTATGCAGCTCACCTGCACCCTCTGTAAGCTTTGCCTGCTGCTGCCATCCTGCCTCTGGCCACTGCACCTACAGAACCAATAGGGATGGAGTGACTCCCAGTAGCTGTCAAAATCAAGCCTTTGACTCAATATAGCTGAGACAATATCAGTTTTCCCACAAATAATTGTCATGGAAGAGAGAGTGGCTTGCCTTTCATTTGCTTATCACGTACATCTTTGCCATGAAAAGTCCTCATTCCTACTGTCACAGACTGCAAAGGGCTGCCATGGTTTCTTCCTCTCCGCTATTTCTCACCATAACTTGCTCATAACTTACAAGAATGAAGCGATGCTGTGCGTGTGTGCTTGGTGCCCTAACTTTAGCTGACACAGCAAATACTTCAAACCCTCCCCTTCAGTGTGCCTTCTCTGCTAAAACCCTGTGCGTATGAACAGCAGAGAGAGGAGGAAAAGGCAGAGAGGGAGAGAGAGCACGATCTTATAAGTGAGTGGGTAAGGAATGTACACTGAGCTGTGCCTGAAAGTCTGATGTCTCCAAATATTTGTTAAAAGGCAAAACCACCACTTCCGAGAGAGGGCCCTCCCCTCGCCTGCAATAGGCTCCCCAGAATAGCAACAGCCTGTGTCACTGCAAAGGGCAAAGCCTTCTGAAATAGCAACAAAGTTGTTCACAAACCACTTTGTGGTTTGCATTTGGTTTCAGCCAGCTTCAGCAACTTGTTGCCATGAGGAAAACAACCTGCACTTTCCTGGCCGGCCGGGGAAGGATCGCTGCCTTGTGAAGTGCTCCTGCCCAAGGTGCAAAGGGGGTGGCGATGGTAGCTGGGCAGAGCACGGAGGACCTCAGCCAACAGAGCCAGACAATGAGAGCAGGGGAGGATGAGGAGAGCAGCCAGGGCAGCAGCTGCCGCCAGCTCCCAGCTGCAACAGGTAAGGCGGCAAGAGCTGAATGCCAGCTGTTGGCCAGCAGCAGCTGCTCACCTAGCTAGTGCTGGGGCTGGGGGAGAACGGCCCCATGAAGCCAAGGGACTCTCAGGATATGCTGTCTCAGTTTCTGAAAGTGCAAGAGGGGAACATATGAGTAAGGAATGGGACTGCCAGCTTGAATTTTGAATGAAGGTTTATGTGGTACTTTCCCTAAAAGGCCTCGGTCCTCCTGCTTGTGCATGTGCTGTCTGTTGTGTAAATCCTTTTCCTTTATGAAGATCAGTCACCTGAAAAATAGGAGAATCCGGTGCCATCTCAGATAACAACGGTGCTCTGGTCTTTGCATGCTTGGGAGCAATTCAGCCCTTTTCACCAAAGTGAGTGGAGGGGGGCCGGGTAAACACTGCACCTGCTCATGAAGGGAGACAGTACAAGGGGGAGAGACAGGGTCTACCTCCTGGTTTTACTTCCTTAGCATTTCAGGAAGAAACAGGGTTTCTGTGCTGATGCCCTCAAACATCAACTGTAGCATTTCTTCTGCAGAAAATTTTTTAGTCCGGAAGCTGAATTTTATAGCTGTTCATCTTTGCTGTCCTATCCAGCCCCCTTTTCTAAGCTACAGGATGGGTTTGCATCTTTAGACTCTTTCACTGATGATAAGATCAAGGGGAAAATGCCCCATAATTATGATATTTCTCACCCACAAGACAGCTGTACCCAAACAGCACAACACGGTCATAAGCCGGAAATTACTGTCCCAAGCAGGCTTTGTTCACTTAGTACTGAATGAACTAACTAGCCCATGAATGTTCAGATACCATAGGCACAAATGCTTTGTTGAAGTGTAATAACGATCAGCAAGCAACATCTCCTGATACCTGGAAGCAGAGGTTAATCAAGAACAGAAAGCCAGGAGATGTGTAGAAATATTTAACATTACCTTAGGGACTGAGAGGAGCAATGCAGATAGCCTTGTGAAAGGGAAGCATAGCAGTTACAATAAACAGCAAAGTTTCTGCAGCACAAGGGCTAAGGTTAGAAGAGTATGTGCAAATTAGTCACTTGGCATTACCCTGAAAAATTGAATCAGTAACCCGAGGAATTTATAATCACCTAGCTAGGAATTAAAAGAACTTGTCGATTCTCACAGGAAACTAACAAAACAAAGCCCAAATGCCATTTAATGAAGGGTCAGGCTGTCTGTCAACATAATAAAAATACATGGCAGAGCACTAAGAGAGGACATGGTCAAGGTGGGTCTGTCCAGCATGTACATCCCCTGTCTTTCCATCACTGCCAGGGGCTTCTGTTCATGAAATTGAATATTGTTCACAAAGTACATTCGTCGCACTTATGCTGTACAAAGTATACAATGCTTCCCACCATCAGAGGAATTTAGATGTGTGAAAATGTGTGATACATTAGTTTTCTTCTGCCTTCTTTTTTAGTTCAATTTACAAAATATTTGTTTTGAGTTTGCCTTTCACACTTGGGTTGTCAAATGGTTGTGATCCCACATGACTCTTACTATTTTTGGATAAAGTTAATATTTTCTGAGATTTTCCAGCTCTGTTTGCAACATAGCTATGTCCCAAAGCCATCATTTGTTTCATCCCATAGGGTCTTGTTGGCCAACTGTTTTAGATCCCATGCCAGATTTCTAGATGGCCACTTAAATCAGATGTGTCCTAGCTCATAGGAGGAATGCACCTATTGAGCAGCTACTGGATCTAAAGAAAACTCAGGCCTTGGACTAGAGAAAGAGGGTAATGTATCTCTTTATACCAGACAAGTGGATGAGACAAAGAAAGTGGCTGTGACAGTGCAACAGAGATCATGATAATATGAAAACAGGATAATCACCTTATGAGAAACAAACCCACAATTTAATTATGCAGCAATGCCCAATACATGCCATAAATATTTATCCTAAAAAAAAAATGTGATCCACCTGCTATAAACTATAGCAAAATCTTCTTTAAAGACAATGTGGGAAATTTTAAGTACTATTTCCCTGGAAAGACAAAGTTTTTGTATGTCAGACAGTACTCAGATGGAAAAGAAATATGTTGTTAGAGATAGCTTAAAAATTTCAGATACAGTTGTAAGATGTTTTAAGATCTACCACGGATAAAAGTAGATACCTTGTTCTATGGAAAAAAGGAGATTCCATGCTGTGGATTCATATCTATGCAATGCATTCAACTCATTGTGGTTTTCTAATCTGAGCTTATTAACCAGTGGTTGACATTAACCTCTGGTTAATGGTATTAACCAGAGCTTGATTTCACCTTCCAAATATCTAAATAGACCAAAGAATTTCTACGGATTTAAAGAACACATATTTGACCTTCCAGAAAACTGACCTTCCCTACCAAACTGAGACATTTTTCACCTTAGATTAAATCAAAGTAAACAGAAGAAAGTATAATGGTGGAAGAGATTGTCGAGTCCTCTCCTATCAAAATAGAAGTATTTGCACAGGTTACATAATCTCCCCTCCTCTCCAACTCAGTAGTTTTCTGTGTGCATGATCTCTTGGGAGAAAACAAAGAAAAACTACATCACAGAAATATCAGTGTCTGGCCTAACTTGGAGTGTATTACTGCAAAACTGAGCTGGAAAGGGCTCCCAGGGACCTTTCCCATACCTCTCCCTCACACGGGGTGGGTGAAGAGTGGTGTTTCCCAGCTCAGCTTGATTGCAGATCTTCCCTGGCACTGATCATTTATCCATAATGCCCATAAAATACATGCACAGATCAAATATTGTGCCTTTGTAAGGACTTTATTTTCCCAGATATCTGACTGAAAATAAGTAAAGGGGCACACCCTTACTGCTTGGCCCCATCCAGCCTCATCAGCAGTACACTATGCTATACTACAACTGCCCTTGGTCTCCTTTTCAGGAACCAAGCATAAACATTTCCAGTGAATGTTCTTAAAGATAGGTTTTGTTTGCCAAGTAGTGCTGCTTTTGACTTGAGTAACAGTTGTGAGAAACCACTTTGTTTACATGGGGAAACTAGAGAATAGAGTTTCGAATCACTTGTCACATACCAGCCACACACTCATTTGCCACGGAGTTTGTGGCAGACAGAAGGAGAAAATTCTCTGGAAGCCATTATTAAAATATTTTATTCCTCTGGGCTGCACACTGCCATGTATTTTGCAGGCATCTCGTAAAAATAAGAGAAATATATATATATTTTAAGAAGCTTTTTTTTTTTTTTTAAAAAAGGAATGCCTAAGAACTGCCAGCAACATCATTAGAAGTGACACTTAAAAGGATTGTGAATACAGCTACTGCAACATGCTTTATCTGGAAAAGTTAAAGGAAAACATATGCTGAAGTCAGAGGCAATTTTGCCTAGAGGAGGGCCATGAAGGAAAACTGAGCAGAGATTCAGGGTTTAACTCAGCAGGCAGCTGAGAGCAGGCAAGTGTTGGGTACATCAGTTAAAACAAAACCTCATAATGATATAAGGACGTTTCTCAGCAGAATAGTGGCTGTGAGGGACAAGAGATACTGAGTTAACTGCTGAGTTTGCTGTTGCCAATGAAGAATGACAACATGTTTCCCCCTGCATCACATCAGGATCTGCTTTTCACTCAGAGGTGCTCTAGTTACAGCCCTCCACCATTTCTATACAACTGTTGGTAAGTGTCATTGGACACATGAAGAATGATACCAGCTGACCAAGTTAAAACAAACTAATGAAACATTAAGACATTGATCAAGTTGCTCTACTTGGAGAAGCAAGAAATATATGGGCTTGAATGCTTCCCTGTCAAATTCCCAGGTGTCCAAGCTCCACATCCAACTTGTACAGCCTCTCAGATTAAAAACAAATAATCATCTTGGTTGCTGTTATCTGAAGACCACAGACTGAGAAGAGCACAGTCTGAATTGCAAAGAACCATGCTGATGGTTCAAATATCTCTCTTGAGATATTTGACTTGGCGCTGTCATGCAGAAACTGCAACCATGCAAACATGACGCTCGCACATTTAAAGAATTAAAAGCTATGCAGGACACAGACTTCAAAGTATCAATAGGGAGCACTGTCCATGCTGCTGTGTTTCTGCTGGAGAGCCTTAAACTCTGTTTTTGTCCCTCTGTTACTAAACATTTTTTCTCAATTGCTTGAAGAAGATAATAACAGATTATTTGTGGGTGATACAGGTGATGGGTGATTAATAAATGGGATATTTCACTGGTTGAATGCAATCTGAATGGTTTGGCCTGCTGACTGCGAATGAATGTGCTGTGTGGGGTTCCTCTCTGCTAACTTTAGATATCTGCATCTGAGCAAGCTGCACAGTTGCCTTTTATAGACAATGGAGAGAATAAGCATCCAGTTTAATTCAGACATCTAGAAGTGCCTATTTTTTGCAACTGGTTAAAAAAGAAATTTAGGGATGCTGCAGATCTCTCACAGTTAGGTAAGTTTAACCCATTCTATGTATTTTAATACAGACAAATGTAAAGTGATTTGCATTCCTCACTAGGATGCAAAAAGGCAGGCCCTATTTAAAGGAAAGGCAGTGCTTTGGAAAGAACCCAGTCAGTACAGAAGTTGGTTTTCCTGTAGGATAACCAGAACATGAGCTCCTTTACATGGCTGTGACAATCCTTAGACAAGCAGGGAAATGTCCACCAGGAGTGAGATAATTATGTCAAATTCCTATCTGGCACTGTGCAAACACTGCAGGAGCACTGGTTCCAAATCAGAATTTACTGAAGAAGCTGATGATCTGGATAAAGTTCAGAGAACAAGGTTTTAAATACTTAGGGGATTGGTAAACTTGTAAAGCCTCACAGGCTAAGTAGCTAATAAAGGAGATGTCTGTGGGATGACTCAATGACATGCTATAACTTTGTACTTAGCAATCACAGATAAGTGCAAGGAAATGGAGAATGGGATCTAATGGCTGGAAGTTGAAGTTGCAGAAATTAAGTCTAGAAATAATTTACAGTGAAAGCAATTAATGAGACAATTTATGACATAAAGTCATTGGTTTTCAATCAGTAGCAATTTTTAAATCAAAGCTGAATATTTTAAGTCACCTAGTTCAAACAAAGTGTCTTTTAAGTGTGTCTGAAGGATTATGTTATGCTGTTCATGAGTGTCAGACTGGATGACCACAATGGTCTCTTTTCCCTTCATAATATGCAAATTGAGGCAAAGTCTTATGTTAAATCTCTGTGGCTCAGTGACGTAAAATACAAAGATATCCAAGAAAGCACAAACACCATCACTGAACAGTAGTTTGGGCAGAGTTGTGATCAAATTAGCTGTTTCACTTCTGATACCCAAGATCATTCCTTCAGCATAACACTGTGTTGTTATCAGCCCTGATTTCCGAACAGCGTTCATTGGACGGGTATATTTTCTACATCTAATAATATACAGCAAGCAAGCAAGTCAAGACTCTAAAGGGGAAGGAGAAATTAGTTTTGCAATGATAAAACAAATATTGCATGTGTACATTGGAGGATGGAGCACATGTAGTACAAAGCAGCTTAGCTGGAGTTAGAAGTACTTCTGCTGAATTACTGTTCAGTGTGTGAAGTAAGGACAGCAGGACCTTTCTCTAACCCATGCACTAACCTCTATCTAAAATAAGTGAACTGATCTCAGATACTGCAGATATAAATAAAGAAAAAGCTTTAGACATGATACAGATATGGACAACACTGATATAAAAAAAGATTGTTCCATCACTGGAGCATTTTGCAAATTTGTTTCTGGTATTTTCTTCAAGATGTCCCACCTCCATCTGCCCTCCACTCTCACCTTCTGAAAGACTTTTCACAATACTCCCATTTCCCCCATGTCCTTATGGCCTATCATGACAAAACCACGTGCTTCTCTCCTATCTCTTATCTATCTCTGGTTTGTGAGCCACACCAGTTCAGTGTCAGAGTGAGTTGAGGTGCATTGGGTGTGCTGCTATTTGGCTTCTGCTTGGCTCAAAGTTAGGAGAACTAATATGTGATACTTATTTTAATAGACTTAATGGGCTTACACATCTCCTGTGATCCTGGAGGCACCACTTACAGTCACATAGTTATACTGTGCTACTCTCCAAAATAACCCATCTGCCTGTGGAGCAGCTGCAGGGTAGGATGCTGGGCTCACACTGCTTCTGGGAATTGCTAGGGAAGCATGAGGTGGCTTGGGGCATAACCAGGCCAGGGATTATGCCAGAAATTTAGTAGGGTATGTGGCCACATGCCAGGGTCTGGGCCTGGGCTCTGGCAGTGTTTATTTTAGTAGTGCAGATGTACTGCTAAGGCTACTCTCCTCTTCTCTTTTCATGATTTGCTTTCGAAATGTAATATCCTCTTGTCAAACGGGACTGATCCTTGCCAATGTGCTCAAAAGTTACTGGTAAGGAACTCCAGGCAGTGCACATGATCAAAGAGCACTAATGCCTTAGAAAAATAAGTTAAAAATAAACAAACTGTATGTATCATTTTCAATTAGACCATATACCACTTTCCGGCTTGGCTGGAAAGTACTTGTTCCAGGATAATTAACTAAAATACGGACTCTGTTATGCTGCAAAAGCTACCTCTCCTCAGACACATCCTACTTCTCTAACTAAGCGGAAGTCAGAAGTCAATTTACTCTTTTCCTAGTTGCGTGGCAGCCAACATCATGATGAGAGGAAAATCATACTGGGAGAAAGAACAAGGCCAATAATAACAAACTGATATATTCCTCAAGGTTTAGGGTGCAAAAGGCTTCACAGTTAGTAGAATATGATCAGTCAAGTCTATCTTGTAACAATAAACAATGAATCACAGTTGTATAAAATGAGTTTGTTTTAAAGTGGACATTCAAAGGCATATAATCTCCATTTGGTTTACGTTTTCACCATCTGTTTCTTATTCCTGACATTATAGCTGTCATAAACTATGCAAAATATTTGATCCTGATATTCTGAAGAATTTGAGATTAAAGATGAGCAAAGCTCAGAAAGTTCATGAGTTTATATCTCACAGATTGGTTTCCCTAGAATATCCCATATATCTGATCAAACTGGTGCTCATTGAATAAGTCTCCATTGGCAAAATAAAAACACTTGTACCAGCAGCCTTCACAGCATCCTCAGGTGAAGCAAAGGAATTAATAAGTGGTGAGGGAATACTTGTTACTTATTCAAGTCAAGGTTGAAGCAGTTTGGCTGGGAAATTACTGCTTTCCTTGCCCATGGTACAGTAGTTGGGTGGATGAGACTTCTTCAATTCATTACAGGAAAAACACTGAAAATATCTCAAGGCAAAAATTGCTTTCTTACCAAAAGGCTGTAATATAAATGTTGCTTTTTGCAATGATATTCTGAAGCAGAAGGTTTGATTATTTAGGACCTGATCAAAACTTTATTGACTTCAGATCAGGAAGATAAGGTACCCGAAAGCATTCAAATTAAAGAGGATTTTATATAATTCCTTTTTTTCCCCCCGAAATAGTTTTTTATGTCACCACTGCTGCTGGATATGTATGGAACTTAAGTGCTTTGCCTAGAAGTTACAAATAGATTTTTTAAACTGTTATATCAAATAAAGTTATATTAATTGTCATAATGTTACAGAAGTCACTCTTTCAAGTTTTTGTGTTTTATTCTCTTATTTCAGGTTGTGGAACATTTACCTTTCTATCTTCTGCTATTGCTGCCACAAGTGGACTTCTGATGGGTTATGAGCTGGGCCTTATCTCTGGAGCTCTTCTTCAGATAAGCAGCATATTAGCACTCTCTTGCAAAGAGCAGGAAGTCGTTGTAAGTTCCCTGCTTTTTGGGGCCCTATTTGCATCCCTTACTGGTGGATTTCTGATAGACAGATTTGGAAGGAGACTTACTATTATTATTGCATCTTCTTTACTTGTGTTGGGGAGTCTGATTTTACTGCCCTATGAATCATATGAGATACTTATTGTGGGACGGATTGCCATAGGTATTTCCATATCATTATCATCAATTGCGACGTGTGTCTATATTGCTGAGATTGCCCCACAGCACAGAAGAGGCCTCCTCGTATCATTAAATGAACTCATGATTGTGATAGGCATTCTCTTTGCCTATATTTCAAATTATGCTTTTGCCAGCATATCTCATGGCTGGAAGTACATGTTCGGCCTTGTGATTCCATTAGGTGCTTTGCAAGCTATTGCCATGTATTTCCTTCCTCCAAGTCCTCGGTTTCTTGTCATGAAAAATAATGATGAAGCTGCAAGAAAAGTACTGGAGAGGCTACGGGAAACGTCAGATGCTACTAAAGAACTTACTGTGATCAAGTCTTCCCTGAAAGATGAACATCAGTATAGTCTCTTGGACCTGTTTCGTTCAAAACACAACATGAGAGCTCGAATGCTGGTAGGACTCACTCTAGTCTTTTTTGTGCAAACAACTGGGCAACCCAACATTTTATTTTATGCATCGACTGTTTTGAAGTCAGTTGGGTTCCAGAGCAATGAAGCTGCCAGTTTGGCTTCTACTGGATTTGGAGTAGTAAAAGTTGTTAGTACAGTCCCAGCCACAGTTTTTGTGGATCAAATTGGAAGTAAAACTTTTCTGTGTATTGGCTCTTCTGTTATGGCAGTATCATTGGTCACTATGGGCTTAGTGAACCGTAACATACATGTGAATTTTACCAATGTCTGTAGAAGACAATCTCCAGAGGATTTCTTTCTCCAGAGACCAGGAAACTTCACTATCACCAATGGGAGTCTTAAGGACCTCTTTGCTAGCTTGGCTTCAACAGAAAGATCATCATTTGATGCACAGAAAAACCCAGATGTTGCCAGGACAGGAGAACTGAACAGGACTGCACTGCCAGAAGGCAAAAGCACAGCAGGGTTTCACATGGAAAGTGGGGAGGTTCCTGTTGTCCTGAAATGGCTCTCACTGGCCAGCCTGCTTGTTTATGTTGCTGCATTTTCCATAGGTCTTGGACCAAGTAAGTGTTTCATTTTTCTAACTCTTTGTAATGATTTACTTACATTATTAAGTGCTGGGATGACATGCCCAGCTTGGCATTACACAGTAAGTTGAACAAAGCAGTGTTTTCTGCCAATATGCGCTGGCATTGTCACAGACCGCCCTGGTGGGCCTGGGGTGTATTTTTTAGAAAGAGGTCCTGTCCATTAAGGCCAATGACCTAATCTACCTTCCATTCTGTGAAATTAATTACTCCCTCTTCAGTCAAGTTAAGAACTGCTGTGAGCTTCGTACAGCAAAATTATGAGGCCCCTGGCTATCCTTCCTCATTCTAGTCTATTGTGTCCTTACATTGGGAAGATTAATATGTAGGTATTTTCTGATGCTAACTCATAAACCCAAGATAATTATAGGCTCTAGACCTCTGTATGGTATGACATCATCAAATCCATGAAATACCAACATGCCTGAGTCCTGCTAAGAATCTGTCCCCTTGACTATGTAATAGTCTTCAGATATAGGAAAGATATCCAAGGTATCATAAATCATGAGCAAATTCTAATATTATTGCCTCTACCTGTGCTGAACAACATAAGTGGAAGGACACAAAGGCATGTCACTATACAGCTAAGGTACCTCTGCAGCTGCCATCACACTTGCACAGTTCCCATTCTCTTCAGAGAAGAACAGAATGTTTGTCATTCCAAGGGACTAGAAATTAAATCTCTCCATTTTCTTTTGTTTTGTTTCGATAGGACTTGCACATTATTGTTCTTTGAAGGGGTTGATTTTTTAAGCCACACTGCAAAACCCACATGCACACAGTCCATTATTTATTAACAGACTTTATGTGCTTTTGCACCTTGGCTCAAACTTGCCTTGCAAACAAACTGTACTCCTGTTGTACTATCATGATAAAAAGCTTGCCACAAGGATACAACCCTACAATTGTACTAATAGCAACTTCCCTGCAGTATTTGTTTATTTAAAACATTACTCACTGGGAGAGCAGCGTGAAATAAGCATTCATTGCTGGAGCAGCAAGCTTGACTGTGTTATTGCAGCATTATTCCTTTCCTTGAAGATCATCTTAGCACTATTCTGCTTTTGATGACATAGGTTTAAAACCAGGGGAGAAACCCTGAAAAGAAAATGTTACTTGAACTTTACTTGGGTGTTTCAAACACACATTTAGCGACCCTTAGAGTAGGGTCACACATTCAGTCTCGGCCTCCTGTTGAAATCTGCTTTCCTGTTGACCTGGCTGTAAATGGGTTCCTAGTCATTTGAGTTGGGCTAATGTACAATTAATGAGAATAATGTCTACTTTCTTGAGGGTTACAAAAACTGATATGTGTTTGCCAGGCTGATCTGAGAAATCTTTGAGGCCAGTGCTTGTTTTTTGACCTCTTGACTTGAAAGCTCAAACACTTTCAAACAGAAAATGGGAAGGAACAGACACCATCTCAGCTCCAGCATGTAGAAATTGTGTATGATAAAGCCACAGTGAGGCAATTTTATCTGACAGATGCATTTGCCTAGCAAGTGAAGGCCAGGTCTAGGAGACATACAGGTATTTCAAATTGCAGATAAGTACTTTCAAAGCATTTCCATGCCTTTGAAAGTACACTATTCAGTTAAAATTTACAACATATAGAAAATGCAAGGGATTAAGTACCAAGAGATTGTTGGAATCTGCAAAGGCTCTATTGTGGTTAAATAATCTGGGCTGAGATGCACAGTTATAATTTGCTTGTCATATACAGCCAACAACATCTGCTGCCTGGAGCCCAAATCTCTGAATGTATTTTCAGAACCGATCTTTCTTATCCTCAGTGAACCTATCTTAGTGTAAAGAAAAAAAATGAGCTCCTCTGCTTATATAAAGCAAACAATTTTAACATGTTTATGTTATTCATCTCTAAATCTGGGCTGTGGTCTGGACCAGACTGTTCATCACTGTCTACTTGACAATGGGAAGGAGGCAGCGAGGCTACACTTGCTGGCTGGTGTGGCCAGGCGGTGCCCAGGGCACCTGAGCACAGAAGCACTGTAATCCCTGCACTGCTATATTTTCAGTGCAAAAATCTCAATACTCCATCCAATGTCTGCCAGTATGCCTGGCTAAGGTAAAGGCAGTGTTGGGGATGTGCCTCTTTGTAGATCAAATCAGCATCTTTTGGATAGAGAGCAGAGAAGATCTTCCTCTTTTCCCTCCATCCCACAAGGCCATTTCTGGAACGGATACACCCACTATATTTTGAGTCCATGCTGTATTACATTCTGTGGGGATAAAGAAGAATCTATGTAACACCAATAGCAAATGACACACTCTTCACAGGGCAGATCACACAACCTAAGCTCTATCATCTTCTTTTTAATTACTTTGTGTTTTTTTTTTACCCTTTTATTTTATCTTTTGATTCTGGCCAAAGAGATAGTTATAGTCCATACATAGCAGACATTTATAGATGTTATATTTTTCCATGATTTCTCTTTTGTCTCCAAATTACAGTAAGTAGATTGATTTTTTTTTAATGAACTGAGTGTATGCTAAATATATTTATTGCCTTTTATCAAAGGACATAGGCAGCACAGTGATGAGCACTCAAAAATAGACAATGAGAGATAAAAGTAATTTTTGCATTACAAAAGAATTCACAGACTAGCAATCATCTGCTTAGTCAATTTTTTGATTCTAGGGTGCTTTGTATTTATATCATACACAAGATAAAAGGAGTATTTCTGCTACTTTGTTTCAGATTATTTATGTTTGATGAACTGCGATTCAACTGCTTGTTCACACTCAATTTCACACAAGTATGAGGATGTTTTGTAGATGCAACAAATCAGTGTTGCAATCATGTCACAGAACAGCATGTGCCATTTCTCCTGGGGTGAGGCATTTCAAGGCAGTCATTAGCTAAGGGGACTTACTTGACACCCATGCTTGTCTTGAGTTACCTCTATCTGTGTATCAGAAAGGTCAAATGAGGATCAACCATTCTCACCAGGGAAAGATGCCTGCAAAACCCTAAAGAATCATAGAATCAGAAAATCATAGAATCAGCTAGGTTGGAAGGAACCTCTGAGATCATCAAGTCCAACCCTTGATCCACTACCACCATGGTTACTAGACCAGACTAATATCTAACCTAAATCTCCTCTGGCACAGCTTAAGACCATGCTCTCTTGTCTTGCTGGTAGTTGCCTGGGAGAAGAGACCAACCCCCACCTGGCTACAATCTCCTTTCAGGTAGTCATAGAGAGTGATGAGGTCTCCCCTGAGCCTCCTCTTCTCCAGGCTAAACAAACCCAGCTCCCTCAGCCTCTCATCATAGGACTTGTGCTCGAGTCCCTTCACCACCCTTGTTGCTCTTCTCCGGACCTGCTCCAGCACCTCAATATCCTTCCTGAACTGAGGGGCCCAGAACTGGACACAGTACTCGAGGTGTGGCCTCACCAGCACTGAGTACAGGGGAAGAATCCCTTCCCTGGACCTGTTGACCACACTGTTCCTGATCCAGGCCAGGATGCTATTGGCCTTCTTGGCCACCTGGGCACACTGCTGGCTCATGTTCAGCTTCCTGTCAATCCAAACTCCCAGGTCCCTTTCTGCCTGGCTGCTCTCCAGCCACTCTGTCCCCAGCCTGTAGCACTGCATGGGGTTGTTGTGGCCAAAGTGCAGGACCCGGCACTTGGCTTTGTTGAACTTCATCCTGTTGGAATCAGCCCAGCTCTCCAGCCTGTCCAGGTCCCTCTGCAGAGCTGATCGACACTCCCTCCCAACTTAGTGTCATCTGCAAATTTGCTGATGGTGGACTCAATCCCCTCATCTAAATCATCAATAAAGATATTAAACAGGACTGGGCCCAACACTGATCCCTGGGGGACACCACTAGTGACGCGGCACTGTTCACCACCACTCTCTGGGTCCAACCTTCCAGCCAGTTCTTAACTCATCACAGAGTGCCCCTGTCCAAGCCGTGGGCTGCCAGCTTTTTCAGGAGGATGCTGTGGGAGACTGTGTCAAAGGCTTTGCTGGAGTCCAGGAAGACACATCCACAGCCTTCCCCTCATCCACCAGGTGGGTCACCTGATCATAAAAGGAGATCAGGTTGGTTGGAGAGGACCTGCCACCTTGGACTGAAGCTCCTCCTGCATTTTCTCCTCCTGCTCCTCTTCCCTCCTTTCTCTGTGTGTGGATGCAGAGGCACTAACAGCTCCCTGGCTGAAGCTGGCAGTCAGATTTAAAGCTGTTGGAGCAGACACAAGAAAGGATATGCACGCAGGTGACTAGGTCAGGGGCTTGTGGTCACTACAGTCACTTTCTTCATCAGGAAACCTGCTCTAACAACCAAAGCTCAGTAGGGAATTGGCTTTCCTTCTGAGTTACCTGTTGGTAAAGGCTTTTTGTCTCTGATTTCCATTCAGCTCTAACCTGCATGCTTGGGCCTCATTTCTGAGCACCTGTATAATCCTGGCGCAGGGAAGGGTGGCAGACCACCAAGCCTGCCTTCCTGATTTACTAGTTTCACACTGATTAAATTCCTCCCATGTGAAGGACCCAGGATTGTGGCTGGACCCAGCTTGGGTCCCTCCAAGAAGATGCAGTGACTATGCTCTACTGTGATGTACCATCTCACTGCTGTGGGAGCTCTCTGTGTGGGTTGTCAACCTATGTGGAACAAAACTCATGCAGAGAAGCCAGTAAAGACAAGTCCCTAGTGAGGGCAAATCTTAGGAGGAAATTTTTACTGGTGAAAGACTAGTTTAGGATGACAGATGTCCGTTTCTAGTTTAAACCTAGGCAGACTTGCCATATTAAGTATATCTGAGTTAAATTTATATCAGCTTGAATGAATACTTTAAAACTGACATACTTTATACCTAAAATGGAACAGATGTTTCAACAGGTTTGGTAATCTAACTGATGCAGGAGCCAGATTCCTCAGATAATCAACAAAGGGAAATATTTTCCCCACCCAAGGGAGGCTTTCAAACCCCTGCTCTCTGACT